TTTCTCCCTGCTGTCTCTGCCTGCCTGCCTGCCTCTCTGTTCCCCACTGCTATCTCTGCCTGCCTGCCTGCCTGCCTCTCTGTTTCTCCCTGCTGTCTCTGCCTGCCTGCCTCTCTGTTCCCCACTGCTGTCTCTGCCTGCCTGCTTGCCTGCCAGCCTCTCTGTTCCCCCCTGCTGTCTCTGCCTGCCTGCCTACTTGCCTCTCTGTTTCCCCCTGCTGTCTCTGCCTGCCTGCCTGTCTCTCTGTTCCCCCCTGCTGTCTCTGGCTGCCTGCCTGCCTGCCTGTCTCTCTGTTCCCCCCTGCTGTCTCTGCCTGCCTGCCTCTCTGTTCCCCACTGCTGTCTCTGCCTGCCTGCCTACTTGCCTCTCTGTTTCCCCCTGCTGTCTCTGCCTGCCTGCCTACTTGCCTCTCTGTTTCCCCCTGCTGTCTCTGCCTGCCTGCCTCTCTGTTCCCCCTGCTGTCTCTGCCTGCCTGCCTACTTGCCTCTCTGTTCCCCACTGCTGTCTCTGCCTGCCTGCCTGTCTCTCTGTTCCCCCCTGCTGTCTCTGCCTGCCTGCCTCTCTGTTCCCCCCTGCTGTCTCTGCCTGCCTGCCTGTCTCTCTGTTCCCCCCTGCTGTCTCTGCCTGCCTGCCTCTCTGTTCCCCCCTGCTGTCTCTGCCTGCCTGCCTGCCTCTCTGTTCCCCACTGCTGTCTCTGCCTACTTGCCTCTCTGTTTCCCCCTGCTGTCTCTCTGCCTGCCTGCCTCGTTAGCCTTGATCCCTGTCACCTGTGTTGCTCCCACCCTGCTCGTTAGTCCCTGTGTATATGTTTGGTTTTTCTGTTCATTCGCTGTCCAATCATTGTTGTGTGTTTACACTCAGTTGTGTTGTTTGGAAGAGTGTTCTGTCTGTCTGCCTGTTGCTCTACAACCCTCCTGTCATTTTGGATGTTCAAGTCAACTGCCTGTAAGCCTGAGAACCTGTTTTTGTTTGGATTAAAAACCCCTGAATGGAATCTCTGCTCTGGGGTCTTGCATTTGGGCTCACACTCCTGCTTGCACTCATTCTGAAAACCCTGACAGAATGACCGGACCAGTAAAGAGCCCAGTGGCTGCAGGCTGGGAAGCATCCTCCTGTCCTGCCCGGCTAGTGAAACTAGCTCTCTCTGCCTGTATCCTGTTCGACTAGTGAAGATAGTCCTGGTGACCTCTGACTACTAAAGTTGTCGTGTGGTATGGGGCACCCATGAACTGGTGTAATGAATTTGATTTATCATCATCTACAGACTGATGACATAAATAAGCATGGATATTGTCAGCATTGTAAGATTTTAGTTCACTGAAGCCTTGCGCCTGTGCTGTACTGGGTTTTCTTTTGGATCTGGAAAAAAAGTTGACCCACCCCGTTGTCACTGTACAATTCGCACCCTGTTCCTCTTTGATAAAGCTTATAGTTCGGGCTTGCTCAGGTGAGCCCTGAATCATCCCTTAGTTATGCTGCTGTAGGCCTAGACTGCCGGGGATGTCTTCCCATGATGCACTAAGGGAGGGAACAAGAAGCTTTAACTAATGTGAAGGACTAAAATATACTCTTATAGCTATATGTAGTTTTCAGCGACCACTAGGGTTGCCACCTTCAATACAGACTTTTTCAAAGGATTTTACATGAACATGAAGATCAGAAGTGGCAGACATTGTGTGCAGTATTAGAGCATGTTAGGCCTACTTCCTTATGTAAGTGTTTTCTTGTCAGAAGTACAGTACTCGTGCAGTATTGAGTAGCTGTTTGCCTCCGTGCACCACACAGAACACTGGCCGACAAATTGTGCAGTTTGGCTTGATACTCATCACCAAGTAGATTTGGTTATTTGATTTCTCCCACTCTCATCGTTGTCTGTATTTTTTGCATCCGCTTAAACATTTAAGATGGGACGGAGGTTTCTGGAGCTGCCGTCATTGTTATTTCAACTCAACTCCCTGCCAAGAGACCCGCCCTTACCTGACTCCTATTGGCCCTGAACCTGACAGCATTAATGAAACCAACAATGGCAGCGAGTCTTACCCAATCAGGGGTAGAAAAGGAGAAGTATTCTCAGAATGCGGGTGGGATGATTTGCGACCACTGAGCTCGTACGCATGCTGAAAACTCATGAGCGAGCAGACACACAGAGACCAAAACACCGGGAGACAGCTTCACACAACATGCTAGAAACTAGTGTAAACTCCCACTGTAATGTTACAGCAACATATTTTTATCAGCTAGAGGTTGAACTAATCCATGCTCGTTGCGTGATAATGCTACACTGACTGCATTTAGCCGATGTGATACATTGGCGTTAGCTCGCCTGTCACTTTTCATTAACTATTTGTGTATCTTTCACCAGAGGCTTGGCAATGTGAGCAGAGCTGAGTGTGTTCAATGATAACAAAAGCGGTTAGTGGGCTGAACTGAATATTACAAATGAGATTGTTGCCACACTTTATACCAGTTACAGTAACGGCCACTGGATTTCCCGGAAAATCCGACCTGGATTCTTCACATAGGATTAGGCATTCTGGCCGCCAGAGGTAACAGAAAAATCAAGTGGATTTTTTTATATGGGAAGGGACAACCCCTTCACACACAGGCACTAAAAAGTGATTCACTTCATTAAAAAAAACTTCATATAGCACCTTTAAATATCAGAGCACAATGAAGGTTGTAAACAATGTGTGTGCCTGATGGCCTGGGAAATGAAAAGGTATAACTGTAAAAGAGTCACAGCATGCACAGAGCCGGACGGTCCTATACGCTCACAATGCACGTTGGGTAGGGCCCCGCAAATGAAGCAGGGGCACGCCTCACTCTCATATCAAAGGGAGTTACAATGTTTACAATTTTGATGAGAGGATTAACAGGCACGAGAAGAGAAAAAACTCTATCAGAGTGACTTGTGGAACAGCGATCAGGTAAACTCTGTCCTCCTCCTCTCCTCTCCTCTCCTCTCAAAGTCTGACGGCACAGCCAGAGATGTACAGCCAGCATCAGATACAAGCAGCTCAGACCCTAAGTGAACAATTCCTACTCCACCACATGACCCAGCAGACTGGCCCCCACTCTCAACCGACTTCATGATTTTTCCTACCCTGAAGTCTACAAGAGGTTTGCATTCATTCTTATTACAGAGACAGACTGTTTTATAAGTGGGAGGATTGAAGTGAGAGCACTGCGGTGTCAAGTGCGACTGTACAGCAATAGTAAATTGTTTACATGGCTCACGAGACAGGTAGGAGGGCTCATACCAGAATTTTGCTCAGGGTCCCAGACAGAATTTATAAAAACAGACATAGTTTAAGTCAAGCAGCAGCAGCAAAACAAGACAGACACTCCCTTTGGCTCAGTAGCTGGGTGCATTTTTTAAGGTTGCCAAGGAAAAAAGGAGACACATTGTCAGTGTGGCTGCTGGAATGACAATTGAACTGTGTTTACTAGGAAGGAAACATTGCTGTGTGACAGCAATATAAAATAAGGTCAGACATAAGATCTTCATGTCTCACTGAATTTCATCAGTATTTTCATGGATAAGCTTAAACACACATGCACACATAAACATCTGTGTGCAGAGTACGGTCTAAACCTGCCGAAAAGTGCCCTGAGATAACTGTTATGATTTGGTGCTATATAAATAAAATTGAATTGAAGAAGAAGCAAAAGAACCGTAAGCCAACCAAACACACAACAGCCTGGAAATCTTGTCAAGTTATCAGGCTGATATTGATGTTTGCAAACACTTGCAGACTTACATATCTAGCAGACACAGCAGGCATCTGCATGTGTCTCTTGCCACCTCACGAATGTGAATCCAATGTTCAATTTAGCTCTGGTGTGGTCTCCACCAAATCCTCCGAAAACTCTCTAGGTCTTCAGCTTGATAGATGTTTCATTTGCTTCACCAGCTAATTGCTAACTTTGCCTTTCTGCTGTTTGGTGTTCGGGCCAAGTAGCATACAGTGTGTATGTTGAAACAGACTGGCCACTGCAGCTGGAAATGGGGTTGATGAGAGTAGCTGACATTCAACCCTTTCAACCAATACAGGGCATAAAACCACATATTTTACTTAAATTTTAAAAATTGAAGAGCTGCTGAGTTGGGTGATAATTCTCTGGATTAATCACAACCAACCAATCTAGATTTTATTTATTTAAAGTGTTTATTTAAATATGTGTAAAACAGAAACATGAAACAAACCTAAATGTTAGTAGTGCCCCCGAGTGTTTAACTCAATGTGCTTAACTTCTAACATTTGTATAACATTAGTGGATGGAAACATGCATTTATTCGCATCAAATTTGTGCTACATGATCGATAAGGATGGACATGTCATACTGCCTGTCTGATCAGCCCGGTTTAGTTTAGGTCTCTGTGAGTTTTGTTTATTGGTCTGTTCAGTATCTGTTATTTAGTAAGCCTATGTGTTTTGAGTTCCAGTTAGATTCTTGCCTTGTATTTGAAACTTGTTAGTATCCGTCTGTTTTCCCCTGCTGTCTCTCTGCCTGCCTGTCTGCTGTCTTTAGTATCACCTGACTTCTGTTCAGCTGTTGCTGTTTTGTTGTATGTTCATCCACTGCCGTGTGTCTTGCTTGCCTGCTTCTGCTACCTTGTTTGTTGGATTATCCTTTTGTTCTGTCTTCCCCTGGATCATTTGTTTATGGACTGTGTTTTTGCTGCTCTGTGGACAACCTTGGTTTGGACTCTGCTGTGAGTTTAGTTCCTCTTTGAGTTTAATAAATTCTAAGAGACTGTATCTGTCCCACCTGCTTGTCCTGCGTTTGGATCCTAATACCTGTCCCTGCCTGCACACACGACCAATCCTGACAGGACACCTAGTTAGTATAAGCCTGATTGATACAAAGCCATGAAGACATACACAAAAACAACAGGCTGCAGTGAAGAATAAAGTTTACATCCCACAGTGTCAAAGTACTACTGTAGTGTAAAGCTTCCTAATGGCAATTTAGCATAAGCCCAAAAAAGCAACAGGTTTTCATTATAAATGTTTTTATTTAGTTAAGACTTTTTTTTTTTAAACACACAAGGCACCAGCAGTAGGTCCTGTCATATATTAAAAGTATACATACAATGTTGAATTGTATCCCAAAAACCAACACATTTAAACATGCAATATCATGGGTTTCAGGTGCTTCTACAAAAAATACATTTTTTTAAACTGAAAATAGGTTTTCTAGCTTAAATTCCTGCCATTCACATATATAGTAAACACACAGTTTACAAAGAATGTACAGTACAACAAATGCAACACAGCCAGAACAGAAATCACATTCGCATGATAAACTGCAGCCTAAATGTAATAAAGAACACTTATAGATATGGAGAAACATACATTCAAAGAACCACAGTGGGTGCTCATCAATAACTAGCTTTATCAATCATGACATTATAAATCACATCATATATGTAAACATACAATTGTATAAGTGAAGGACGTGTGCAAACAGTTGCCATTTATTGTGTAGTTCTTTCAAAAAATAGAAGAGTGCACAATGATTCAAAATACTAAACATATTAACTTCATCAAGCTATACATTAATATTCTTGCATGTCACTAGCTACCGTGACAGCAAAGAAGTTAGCTACTTTTAATCAGACATATTCTGCCCTGCTCAGCTTTTACTGCTGTAGTTATTGTCAATCTTTGGAAATTAATCCTAGAATTATACTTCACAGTGTCCAGATAAATATGTCACCATGCACAGGGGCGGGTAGTGTTACAGTAGTGATTACTGCCTTTAGTAACAAGTAGTGTGAGTAATTACAATTTTAATCTCAGTAAAGCATTGTAGTTACCAGTTACTAATGCCAGTAATGCTCCGCTACTTTGATATTTTGGAAAGGTGGTGTCTAACAGTGAACAGACAGTTTGGGATGTGTTAACTTCCCAAACTGTCTGCTGGAGGTTGAAGATGGTGCCTAACCTCTCCAAAGTAGTCTTATTTACACATTGTATCTCCAGAGCTAGATCACCTACCTCTGATAATACTATTCAGGAATCACCAGGTTTTATTCAGAATTAGAAGGAGTGTAAACCCTTCAGCTTCACTATGAGGACGGGACTTATTGAGTGATGCTAGCCACAGCAGACCGTCAAGGGCCTTGAAGGTTCCAGGTCTATTAGGTGGCAATTAGTTTGTGGTAATTAGATTTGGTAAAGTCTCATATAAAGTAAAAAGAATTATGGTTATTTATGTTTTTTACATGTATTAATATTATTCTTTCTTACAGTTACAATAAATTGCTTATGATGTTTTCAGTTAATTTAATGGGGTAAAATTCAAGTCTAACTTCTTAACATTCTAACCAAATATTGATGTTTACTTTAGCTTTGTTTTTATCAGAGTTGGCAAAAGGGCGCTATCACTGGGGATTGAGTCGTGCACAAAGTCCTGAGTCAGCCACCCTTGTTTTCTTGCTGCATGTGCTGCTGGTTCTGCCTGTCTTTAAGGTTGTTCCTGGGTAGTACAAATCAACATCAATACTGTCAACACTTCCATGACTGAACTTCCGTCCTTCACAATAATGCTTCAACAATCCTGAGTTATGCAGTAAACCATGGTCCTCAATATTTTCCCAGAGCCCCTATTGTAAATTAATCTGGCCCTGCCCAGGGCTAAGGTAGTAAATACTGGTCAGTGAATACCACCAAACCGTAGGCTGGCTGCATGTTAAACCACAGGATGTGGAGGCTTTCGTGTTATTGATAAGCACCTTGGAGGGAGATGAGTGAGTAATATAAAGTAATGTATCTTATAACTGTTGCTGATGAGCTTTTGAAATGAGTAGTAAGCATTAAATGACTGATAATATTTGTCAAGTAATTGTTTGATGCTTCAAAGGAAATCCATGAAGAAACAGATTACCCAGCGGTGACCTGACAACAATAACACTTGGAAATAATGAAATGGAGTGACTGGACAATAGAGCCACTGTTGAAATCAGTGAAGAAATTAGCTTCATCAAAGAAGTAGGTCTTCCCAGGGATCAGTTTTGGGGAGTTGCAGTGATCAGATCTTTTCAGGATGTGAGGTGAGGGCAGAGGTTTCATAATGGCATTTCTTCCAGAGATTTTCAGCACACTGCTGAACACGATGCTTCGCAGAGACACATGTTCCAAAGTCCCGATTAGTACTAAACAGGGACAAGAAACAAATCCACATATATTCATTAGCCATATTTGTTCACAAAAATTCTAATCTATAAACTGATATCTTACTGTTTTCGCAGAGATGTGTTTCATTCAGATTGTTCATTGAGAGAAGTCTGGATTCTGAAAAAGATACACACATATTATCACTTAGATAATATACGTACATCAAGCTATTCTGAGTCCACACATTGCACAACTGACCTTCAATCATGTTGCTCTGATGCTGTCCTGGTTGGTGTACTGGGCTCAGCTTCCCTGCACAGCATGACCACAGAGAAGTGTTGAAGTAGAGGTGACCACAGCATCTGAATCCTGTCTTTTTGGTGTAGACCACCTCCTTGTGTTCACATGAGCAGCAAACATCCTGTTTATAAAGTAAATATAAAGCATTTTTATGAACAGTATGAATGATCAAATTAATGGTGGTTGGTTAAAAATATGCTTGTTAGGCACCAGGGTTATGAACAGAATGCTGAGACTGGTGCACCGAACCAGATAGATGAGTTTTGATATAAAATAAAAGATTTTAATTTTAGCCATAAAATGTTGAAATGGTTGTGTTTATGTTCAGTATAGAGATGCTTTGTTCTATGCAAGGGCATCACTTTTTGTTAAAGTGGTAGGGACTTTAGGGCTCTGATTGAGGGTATGATGATACACTTAGCTCACGAGACGTGACGATGCACAATATTGAGGTCACGAGAACAATATGAGAAGATATTTAAACAGTATTTTGAAGAAATATTCAATTCTGAATTATGTGAGTGGGGGGTCTGGGGGTCCTCTCCCACAATATTTTGAGCATTAAACACATAATTTCCTTTTGAATGGTGGAAAGGTCTTTATTTATATAGAGGGAAACACAAACTTCAGGTGGCAGGTGACAATTCAAAATGTAAAAATATAATGGAATACAATGCAATAATCCATAGCTTGTTTTTTAGAACAACTGCTTTCGAAAATAAAGACAGGCTAAAACCCATGGGCGCTAGTTTCAGTCGCTAGCATGCCTGTTAAGGAGTGAGGTTTACTCACTACACAGCCTAGCTGGCTACTATTACACTTACATAAGATAAGTTGTAAGAAGATTTCCCCAAAACTCAGGAATTTCCTGTTTTCTTATTTTTAGGTACATTTACGATCATTGATGTATTTTGAAATGCGCACAAGTAATAGACCTAATAATAATAATCAGGGTGCGATTTGCGGGGGGTTTGCCTCCTTCTGGTTTTTATATCTCTGCCTCTCTGCTGAATAATTTTTATCCCCGGTGGGGACAAAATGTTTTCCCCCCTCAGAGTGATCAGTGCTACTTCAATAGGGGTCATGAGGAAAAAAAAAAAAAAAAATAATAATAATAATAATAATACTAAACCTACCATTGGTTTTTGCAGAATGGATCCACAGCACTGTGCGTCATGTCCATGTCCTAAACACGTCAGGTTGTACAGTGTCCCTGCGCAGCACTTCATCTGTGTGTCTTTAATGTTGTAGGCTTTCACCCCACAGCAGTGCATGTTTTCTTTTTTGGGATATCTAGGTGGAGGAACAGAGCTCATAGTTAATATGGATTAAGGTGAGTGAGATTAAAAAAAGTTATATATTATTATTATGTTCTCAAAACATATCATTTTACATTCAAAAGAGGGTGAGTTAGAATTTGCTTTCTTTGATCTTTAAGATTGTGAGACAATTTCTTCAACACAGTTTCTACATCGGCTGCGAGGTGAAGGCAGCATGTTGGCAGCTGCAGCTTCAGTCCTGCATAAAACCAGAGTACAGACAGAACGCATAAATAGCTGTATTAATTAAAATAGAAAAGCACCTGTTTCATCACACACGCATGAGACCAATGACTAAAAAAGAAGAAAAGCCAGTGTAGCCTGTTAACCTTTGTCATTCTTCGCTACGCGGAGATCCTCTCCTGTGGAACCAGCTCCCACTATGGGTTCGGGAGGCAGAAACCCATTCCACATTTAAGAGTAAGGCTCAGGTGAGCCTTAATCATCCCTTAGTTATGCTGCTTTAGGCCTAGACTACCAGGAGACTTCCCATGATGCACTGCGTGAGCGAACGAGAAATTTTAAAAGACTGATAGTGCAGCTTTAACCAAATTGAAGGACTAAAACATACTGTAACTCTAGTTTTCAGCGACCACTAGCAATGCGGTTTTCAGATTGCAACCTGCGCGTGCTCGTACGCATGCTTGAATTCACGAGCAACCAGAATCGGACACACAGAGACCAAAACAACGGGAAACAGCTTCACACAACATGCTGGAAACTAGTGTAAACTCCCACTGCAACATTACAGCTAGACATTTTATCAGCTAGAGGTTGAACTAGTCTGACCCGGAGTCTTCACATAGGATTAGGAATTCTGTCAGATGTAACAGCAAGTGGATTGTTTTTCAGGCAATAAAAAAGTGATTCACTTCATCAAAAAACTACGAACAGTATAGCCCCTTTAAATATCAGAGCACAATTAAGGTTATAAACAATGTGTGTGCCTGATGGCCTGGAATATGAAAAGGCATAAGGCGTAAGAGTCATAACGTGCACATGCACAGAGACGGTGTCATGAAGCTGGTCTGGTCTAGTCTCCTATATGCTCATATTGCACATTGGGTAGGGTCCTGCAAATGAAGCAGGGGTCCGCCTCACTCTCGTGTCAAAGCGAGGGTCAGTGTTTACAGTTTTGATGAGAGGATTAACAGGGACTATCCTGGGCAAAACCCAGAGTGAGTTTGGAACAGAAATCAGGTAAACTTGTCCTTTATCCTCCTCCACTCCTCTCCTTTCAAAGTCTGACATCAGCAAATAACAGTAATGCTTGAAAAAGTTTGGATAAAGTTTGTGCTAGCTTGCAGCGAGTCTCTCTCTTGCTAGATATTTTGCATCTAATACAACTATTTATTATGTTTATATGTAAGTGCAAGAAATGAAACTCAGCGACCTCTGTGAGGACCAGTCCAGACAATGTATGTGCCTGATGGCACTCCTCATTTTAAAACAAGACAATGATGATCTAGTCTCTCAGTCAAGGTTTTTTGACAAGATGGAAAGCAATGGGTTGACAGTGACAATTAAAATGGTGATTAGCATGGGAAAACTGGGCAATATGGATGCACAGTATCTCAGTAAAGAATAGGCTAAGCATCACATATTCAGCCAAGTGATAGTATAAATAATATTATACATTTGAAAATGTATTAAAGGAAACCTGATGGAGCCAGTTTAAATGGAACTGATGAAGCAATACATTATATCTTGCAGGTATTGTTATCTATAATTTACAGGGGCTATGCTTAAAAGTTTGTCAGTAGAGTAGCTCCTGGATCATCAAGCCTGTACAAGCACAGTTGATCCACATCCAGCATCAGCCAGTACTAGCAGACCCAGTACAGACTAATTTAGCATGTCACACAGACCCAGGTGAAACACAGGCAACCTCAGCCAGTACAAGCACAGCCAGAGATGTACAGCCAGCATTAGATACAAGCAACTCAGACCCTAATTGAAAAGTTGCTGCTCCACCACATGATCCAGCAGACTGGCCCTCACTCTCAACAGGATTGAGGTGAGAGCACTGCAGTGTCGAGTCAGTTAGGAGGGCCCAAACTAGAACTCAGGGCCCCAGGGAGGACAGGACCACATGAACGGATAATACACAGACAGAATTTATAAAAACAGACATAGTGTACGTCAAAGCAGCAGCAAACCCAGACAGACACTCCCTTTGGCTCAGTAGCTGGGTGCATTTTAAGGTTGCCAGGAACAGAAAAAAAAGGAGACACATTGTCAGTGCGGCTGCTGGAATGCCGGCCTGTCTCAGAGTCTGTAATATTTCCTACACAGCTGTGCGACAGCCAGACCCTGCAATATAAAATAAGGTCAGACATAAGATCTTCACGTCTCACTGAATTTCATCAGTATTTTCATGGATAAGCTTAAACACACATGCACACATAAACATCTGTGTGCAGAGTACGGTCTAAACCTGCCGAAAAGTGCCCTGAGATAACTGTTATGATTTGGTGCTATATAAATAAAATTGAATTGAAGTGGAAGCAAAAGAACCGTAAGCCAACCAAACACACAACAGCCTGAAAATCTTGTCAAGTTATCAGGCTGATATTGATGGTTGCAAACACTTAAAGACTTACACATCTAGCAGACACAGCAGGCATTGGCATGTGTCTCTTGCCTCCTGATGATTGTGAATCCAATATTCACTCTCATTTTAGCTCTGGTGTGGTCTCCACCAAATCCTCCAAAAACTGTCATTCTACCAATCCAGGATTCTCTGGATTAATCACCAACTGCTTTCATATTTCACAGTCGTTTCATTTAATATATTAAATATATAATACATCAAATATTGATTAGTGCAGTTTTAGAGTCATAATATGCACAAGCATGTGACAAACTTACGCACAGACTGATTTTATTAACCCACACCAAAGCAGACATTTCCTACAATCTGGTTGCACTTTGAATGCTCCCAGAAGTAAAAACAAAAAGGAGACGAGTAGCTGCAGGAATTCCTGCCTGCCTCAGAGACTATACTAATGAACTAACCACTGTTTCCCACGCAGCTGCCTCCTTGGCTGTGGGAAACAATGAGAATTTTCCTTTGCCACCTTGTCTCCATTTGTGTCATGCCTCAAGCTAATCTAAGAGACACAGAAATTAAATATTTTCCACACTCCACCTTGGCTGTGGGAAACACACTGTGCACACTGTACGCGAATTACACATACCAGACACTGCAACACACCAAGCAGATTTCATCAGTATTTTAACGGATAAGTGTAAACACACATGTACACATAATCACCTGTGTCCATTGCAGCAGATCTCAGTGGAAGGCTCATAGACCTCTGTCCCACAGCAGTGTTGTCCAGGTAATCCATGAGACTGACAACAAAATGTAGTCCCTTTGGCTGGATTGTAAGCAATATTGATCTCTGAACATTCCTCTCCATCTTCTCCGTCCTTATACAAGGTGTTATTACAACAAAGGACTCCACGTTGTGCCAGGCCATATGGCGTCTCTCCACAGCACTTGGAAAATCAGAGAATATACATGTAAGGGGGAAGCAGTACAGACACAAGCAGGCACATTCCTACACACATTCCAGTGCTCACACATTTTAACATATATGCACATGAATTCTTCCAAAATGTGAGGAACATACAGACACAAATAATACAAAAAAAACTAATGCAAATATTAATCACTGCACATAAAATGTGCAAAAGCTGTTTGAGTCTTACCAGGGTATTGTTAACAGTTAACAGATAATGTGGAGACCAACGTTTGCAGGGCTTTTTATCCAATAGATACAAAACACCCTTACTTGTTGTATAAAATGAGCTGGGTGGAGCTCCGAGCTCTCGCAACGTAACTGTACCCTGCAAAACAGCAGGGTTTTTTTTGGATAATCCTAACAGGGATGCTGTGCTGTCAGTTCTCAAACATATAAATAATTCTTATTATATTACAATTAAAGAAATGTGTTGTTTTTTCTCAAACAAGCACTTTTATTCATTAAAAATGGTGTCAGAAGGTGCATAAGGCAAGCCACAAATGAGTTCAACTTCTTTCTATTTCTTTTAGGAATTTTGGAGTTTCCAAACCTACAATTCTCACTGGAAAGTATGGTTTCCCACAGAAAAAACACAGACAAAGACTTTGTAGGAAATAATGAACTCCACCCAGCTGAGAAGGTCAAAAACAGAGAAAGTACATTACTTGATCTCTCCAAGGCATCCTCTCATATAAACAGCCATCACAGCAGACATGTGTTTTGGGGTTATACAGTGTGACTGCAGCATCACATCGACCTTAACAGAGTGGGGTGGGGGGGAGGGGATGGATACAGGACACACCAGTTAATGCAAAATAGGAAATAAAGTTTGTTTATCAGCTGGAGGGTGTGGGGATGAATGATGTCTTAAAATTTGTGACTCGGAGGGTGTGAGAGGGAGGCAACAGAAAGGAATGCATGTACAAGAAAAACAAGAAGTTTGAGAAAAACTGTCTTGAGTTTTCACCAGGACATGCAGTTTTAAATGTTATTTCTCAAAAGACCGTCTTTGATAAGCGCAAGTGAAAGCCGGTCCTCTAACCCCCAGAGTGTAAAGGTGGGGAAAACATGTATGTGGCTTATAGGCGAATGAGCTCTCTTTCCAGCTGTATGGCTTGATGCAATAAAAAAGTGGGGTTTTCCCAGTTTCATCCACCGAAAAAACTGCCCTGCGTTTCCAAGATTGATGTCTGTACAACGTCACGGGTTATCTGTGACCCTTGCTATATTTTAGTGTTTTTCTAGGTGTCCTGTGTTTTCCCTGTCTCATGGTCTTGTGTGTGTGTGTGTGTATGGGCGAGTCATCTCCTGGAACCAGGTTCAACACTGCATTTGCTTGCAATCCACCCATTAAGCTCCTGTTGAAATACTCCCGGTCTCCTGTGAGTTTGAACCAGATAGTTTCTATTGTTTGAGTGATAATGTAGTCTTGGCCAACTTTGCCTCTAGTGTCTTTTGAACTCCTTTTGCCTGTATGAATTTTTCAAACGTGTACTCCTGTGTCTCCCACGCTATCTGCCACACCACGCTGCCACAACTTGCCACATTTTCATTCACCTGTACCTGCCTACCTCTTACCATCACCAGCCACACTTCCCCAGTCCTTCTATTTTGGTCATTAAAACCACTCTTGGGTCCATGTAAAACTCAAACCTAACATTTTGGACAAAAGATTTAGGCACGCTATCGTAAGTAGTTCTAAAGTTCAAAATCTTTACTGTACATTGTACAATTTGTTGAGACTGGTCACTGGAAACCAAAATTACCAACTGAATGATGGCTGATTACAAAATCACATCAAAAATCAAAGGAAATTTTTTTTTATAATAGGCTGATCCAACTTGGTGACTTTCATCACAGCAACTCATAATGTGGCCCCATAATGGCCCCCATGTGCCTATAGGTTCCTGACGAGACAGTAGATGGTGTCCTAGGGCATGGGTATTCAATTAGAATTCAAAGAGGTCCGGTTAAAGAAAATTTCCCGAAGCAAAGGTCCGGAACATCATAACGACTAACTTGCGTTATCATTCAGTGCCATTACGTATAGTAACATATGTTTTTAGCCAACAACGGACTGTCAAATCAAATAATATTTCAAGAATATTTCAGTCAGTTTTCACATCAAACTGGAAGGACAATAAATAATAACTACTCTAATAATAAATTCAAAATTTAAGTAAACTAAAATATAGTGACAAATTTTTAGGAAAAAAATCAATAAAAAGTGTAGTTTGAAGTGATGATGTGTAGTCTCAACCAATTTTACACTCAACACAACTTAACAAATGAACAGCTGTAATGCCTCAGATATATGAGATATTTTCTTTTTTTAAATCTGTACACTCTTGGTACACGTGAAGTCTCTTTTTTCTTTCGTCTCCTCAATTAGTGGGGAAAACATGTTTGTGGCTTATAGGGGAATGAGCTCTGCCCCGTGTTACTTTCCAGCTGTATGGCTTGATGCAATAAAAAAGTAGGGTTTTCCCAGTTTCATCCACTGAAAAAACTGCCCCGCATTTCCAAGATTGATGTCTGTACAACGTCACGGGTTATCCGTGACCCTTGCTATATTTGAGTGTTTTTCTAGGTGTCCTGTGTTTTCCCTGTCTCATGGTCTTGTGTGTGTGCGTGTGTATGGGTGAGTCATCTCCTGGCACCAGGTTCATCACTGCATTTGCTTGCAATCCACCCAATCAGAATTCAGTAAAAACAAGGATCAGTCCAAGTTGGGAGGGGCCACTTGTATTCTTCCTCAATATTGAAAGTATTAGATTGGCACAGATGACAGACACTTAACAGCCTTCCACTGCCGTTGACCAATCCGCCAGCACATTCAGTAAAACATTAGAAACTGAAAAATGTCAGTATTTAGGGATATTAAATCCGTTTAATGTAAGAAAAGCCATATGAAACTGTAGGCTAATTGGTTGTCCCTTCTCTTGCTTCTCCAAAATCTAATGTTAGAGGTGAAAAAATAATTTTCAGTAATTAATAATAAATTATTGTATAATCTTTTTAGTGGTGCTTCAAAAATGGTCTAAAATCGCCCCTGGTTGAAATGAAGATACTCTCAGATTAAACCTGTTTAACTAAATGTCTTTAATTAAATAATTTTTTCTTCTAAAATGTCGCTATAAAGTTATAGCATATATTTAGGAAAAATAAAATGATTAATGATTTCATAAATACTATTGTTGATTTCTTGTTATTGCAGGTACAACTATAATATGAAAAGCCTAAATAATAAGTTAGCATAATAATGTCACTTAATATCGGTCACAACTGATATATTTAGGCAGAATATTACAACATTTTGTGAGTTTCATGCTGTGAAAGTCAGACAAACACACCTGGAAACATGTTAGTTCGAACTATGTTGGTTCAAACTAAGTTCAAACCACGGTTATAAAAGAGGTGTTGACTTCAGATCCCCAAACTTGAGACCTCTAAATGAATTAATTATTTGATGTGTCTTTGTGGCTGTACACCTCCACAGTTTGTCCGGTTAGAACAATTAAGATGATGTTGGTAATCTTCCCAATCCAATGACACTCTTGTCAACTTGTTTATTGTAGAATGAAATCTAGTATGAGTATATGTTTATTTGTATGTGTGTGTGTGTGTGTGTGTGTGTGTGTGTGTGTGTGTGAGGTAACTGTGTGTGCGGTAACTGTAAAGAGAATAAACAAATATGACATTTTAGACATCTGAAATAGTAATGAATAAAAGCAATATAATATGACATAAACAAGTGTCAATAATGACAGATATGAGGACAAATGAACAAAGATGGATAACTTCTAAAGAGAAAACACAAACTAAATAAGGGAGCTTCAATATTTTTACACACGTGGACTGAAAAGGCTCTGTTTCATAGGCTTACTAATGACACACAGACTAGGTAATTTCGTGACGGCCCCTTACTGACCCGTCAGCACATGCAGTACTAATTAACGGGAGGGAAAGTCCGACATAAACTATATTGATTATTACTGGAGGGAAAGTCCGACCTAAATATATATTGATTATAAACATGAAAACAAACACAGCAATATATAATATATGCTACGAAGTGAGACAGGGTGATAAACACACGGCAGCATCACACATGATAAATCAAACAAACTAGACACTATACTCACTTCTCAAGGACGCACACGGAATATGGAAAGGAAAAAACACAGTCCAGAATAAGAATGAAGCATTATCCAGAACTCCAGCAAAACTCCTCTGAACTAGAGACAAAAGATGTGACAACAGTGTCCTCCTGAACGGTTGCAACTGTAAGCAGGGAGACTGAAAACTGTCTCTGCGATTGAGGCACTTAATTGCTGACATGTCATTGGTCTAGGGTGACATGAGGGCCGCATGCACGGCGTCACAGACTGCGCATGCATGTTAGGTGGTGCAGTCTATGGGCCGAGTGAGAGACCTTCTGAACAACGGTGGTACCAACAAGGTACAACAGTCTTGGGAAACGGTCATACTTCAGATGTTTGTTAGTTTAGCGATGCATCGTCCAAAGATAGTTTCATGCTACCTTCCGTTGTTGTATGGGAAACGCACCCCTGGCTAGTTGTAAACAATGGCTGCCCGAGCGAGGTTTTTGACTTGTAACTGGAATGCCATCAACTCAGGTGTGACGTCATTCCCAGCTCCGACCTCCGACTTCTGAGGTAAATGGAACGCACCACTAGTTTCACAAAGAATTTTCCAGATGTTCATCACCACCAGCCATTCCTGTATGTGCCAAATAAGCTCTGTGTTTACAACAAAATTAGCGATTGGGATGTTTTCGTGTCTAATACTCGCCTTAGGAGAAAAATTAAATATGTGGATGAATTTATAATTACTTACATGGTTATCTGGATTCCTTGATGAGAGAATGCTGTTTAACCATGCTAGTTAATATATATTTTAAATTGTGATCAATCTTGTGCCAAGTTCATTTCGGGAAAGGGGAAACTGCTTATGCTCTTTGGCCCTATACGCATTCATCGCACAAGCTGACATGCTTTACAATTGATATTATACTGTACAGTCTAACCATCCACTGTTTAAGGTCTACTTTTCGTTTTGGTTTGAGTAGTCAGTGTTTTCACCTGGTTACTTAATGTATCCAACAAACAAATGTCAGAATAAATGAATCACTAACTGCCTTGTTGGACCACCTGTTACATGTGTACTTCACGTTGTATAAAATAAAAATTCAAACGTAGCAGATACAACACTGATGAAATAATGTACCATCAGATAGCAACTGACACATGCAAACACTCAAAACACTCATCACAACAAACACACCCACTGTCATACCTGGGGCGCAGCACCAATGAGACTTTGTCTGGTTTCTCTCACAGCAGCGAAAGTCATTTGGATTGTAATAGAGACTTGTGCTGTGGATGTGCAAAGATAAGCAAGAATAAACACAAAAGCAGTCCACATCACATGAACACTATAAAGCACTGACACACAGTTCTTTGTACAGTAAAATTACCAAGAGTGTCAAAAATGTGCATGACTCTGATTTAACATACTAAAGATCATATTAACACTAATACAATAACTAGGTTAAAGATTCCCTGTGGAATTTTTGACCTCTGGTGGCAATATGCAGCAGTTTTTGTATAAATGGGTCTCTGTTCTGTTAATCTTGAGCATGCTGATGAGACATTACACATTCCTAGAAATAGGGTTAGGGTTAGAATGTCATATGCACATTGTTTTGTACAACAAACAATACATTTGTGACAGGTTTAAGGTAAAACTTGAGCTTGTTGTGTTTGACACTGGGTCAATAACCTAGTAACATGTAAATGGCTACGTAATATTCAAAATTGGGTCAAAAAGATTCATTGGTACTGGGTCAAGTTTTGCGTTGCTACTACATTGACCAAAACTGGTTCAATATTTAACAACACAATTTTTACTGTGGAGGAGGATTTCATGGTTATAGGTGTCAACGTGTGACAACCTTTGGTTGACTCACCAATTGGGTTGAGAGTCCTGAACTTTCTAAACAAAAATACACACAAACACACACACACACACACAAAAATGAAAATATTTCACAGAGCACCCTCATAACAGAGAGGTAAATCATGTAAACTGAAGATAAAGGGTTGTTTCTTACCTGTGGTTGCACACCTGTGTGATGACACATAGCACAAAGTATTTTGAATGCATGACTCATTACAACAGAACAAAAAGCATTTTTTCAACTTTAGACAAGATTAGACTAAACCCTGCTTAGACATTTGCCTTTGCTACTCTCTGGGTCTGAAGACTGGACAACCTGAGCAACAAAAACAGATAACATTCAGTGCACTCAGTCTGAAGTTAGTTCACGTCTGTTTTAAACATCATTGACAGGCTTGTAGATAATGAGAAGTAGGGTCTACTAAGACCAACATGTCTATGTGATAATTTAAAGTAACTTATTTCATAGGGTTTTATCCAATCTCACAAGACTTGTAATAAACGTAAGATCGCTGTTGTCCCACAGTGTATAGGGCCATAAGAGCTCACCTTTACAGCTACTGGAATTTATAGGATGTATCTCAAGTATTTGATCCCCCACACAGCACCACTGAGTCTTCGTGTTGTATTGGTCATATCCACAGCACTCGTGGTCACTGGAGTTCCTTGTCAGGATTGTCATGTTTGGACCACAGCACAGATGCTTCTCTTTATCAAAAACCTCTGTGGAAACGATCAGAATGATCAGGAGGACTTGCCAAATGCGACACTGTAAGCACCTGTGGTGTATAACATATGTGCATTTGATGCATAACAGCTTAACATAGCACTGTAGCAGCTGGATAGAGGATTAGTGACCTTTTAAGGGGAGAGCAGAGGTCAGTGGTTATGTGGAGACTCTTATATGGTGTCTAACAGATGTCTACACTTATCCTATAGAACTGTGCCCTTATATGGATTGGTGCCTTAGTTTGCAGACTCAGACCCTTATATGGTGTCTAACAGATGCCTTAACATGTCCTATATAAGCTATGTTTTATGTACAGAGAGACAGAGTGTCCATCGGGCTGGGTCACTCTCCAAACTGCTGCAGAGCTTGTAATTGATGCTGAACTCCTTGATGTAATAAAACTTTTATGATCAAGAACAGTGTCAAGCGGATTTCTTCTCAACACATCATCGCAGCATTATTGTTCAGACACCACACACCCATAGATGTACAGTATTCATGCAAATACCACTTTGGCATGTGTACACAGGATTGTATCTATTCTAAGAGCCATTTAGAAAAAACAGCATCAGTAGGAAAGTTGTTTTATGCAGCTTTTTCTAAACAGCAGTGCACGTTTATTGACATGTCTCTGCTTGCTTTTTTGGGGTCGTATTTACATCATAGAGCTGAGATACAATGGGCAATCACTGCTCAATCCAATATGCCTCAAGATTGACATCTGAAACAACCAAGACTTTATTGCTCCGTCTTGCACAGTGTGAAATGCAGAAAACTTGTAAGATCGCTGTTGTCCCACAGTGTATAGGGCCATAAGAGCTCACCTTTACAGCTACTGGAATTTATAGGATGTATCTCAAGTATTCGATCCCCCACACAGCACCACTGAGTCTTCGTGTTGTATTGTCATATCCACAGCACTTGTGGTCACTGGAGTTCCTTGTCAGGATTGTCATGTTTGGACCACAGCACAGATGCTTCTCTTCATCAAACGCCTCTGTGGAAACGATCAGGATGATTTCTTTAAACTGTATCACTTTTACCTCAGTCACAACTAAGTTGACATGATTCATCGTGTGTAGATCTTATGCATACTTCTTTGAAGTACTACATGATTTCACTGAAATGTAAAGGCTTATCTTGTGATTTTTTTTTCAGCTCTACTCACCTTTACCATAGCATCGAGCCTTTGGTGCAGGTTCGGCTACAACAGCTGACTGACAGCATAGCTCGCTAAGTGTGTTGTTGGCCTTCTGTCCACAGAGAGTTGACCCTGGGATCTGAGCTGTGAAGGCAAATATCTTGTCAACATACAGGCACCACACACCTTAATGAGCATGAACTTAACGGTTCCTTTTCTATGAGAACAATTAGATGGCTAATATTGCCACAAAAATGCGAGATGAGTGAAAGTCCCTGTATACATTGCTTTTTTCATGTCTCAGATAAAAATGTATAATCGTGAAAGAAATGTGGTCAAATCTTTGGTTGTCAATCAAAATCGGAAAAATATGAAATTCTCCCCATGTGCCATCTATAAACCGACCAATCAATATACAGCATGAAATGACATAGAATACACTTACCAAATGCGACACTGTAAACACCCATAGATGTACAGTATTCAAGCAAATACCACTTTGGCATGTGTACACAGGATTGTATCTATTCTAAGAGCCATTAAGAAAAAACAGCATCAGCAGGAAAGTTGTTTTATGCAGCTTTTTCTAAACAGCAGTGCACGTTTATTGACATGTCTCTGCTTGCTTTTTTGGGGTCGCATTTACATCATAGAGCTGAGATACAATGGGCAATCACTGCTCAATCCAATATGCCTCAAGATTGACATCTGAAACAACCAAGACTTTATTGCTCCGACTTGCACAGTGTGAAATGCAGAAAACTTGTAAGATCGCTGTTGTCCCACAGTGTATAGGGCCATAAGAGCTCACCTTTACAGCTACTGGAATTTATAGGATGTATCTCAAGTATTCGATCCCCCATACAGCAGCACTGAGTCTTCATGTTGTACTGGTCATATCCACAGCACTCGTGGTCACTGGAGTTCCTTGTCAGGATTGTCATGTTTGGACCACAGCACAGATGCTTCTCTTTATCAAAAACCTCTGTGGAAAAGATCAGGATGATTCTTTAAAGTTTTATCTCAGCCACAACTCAGCTGACAACCTACTGCATATCCTGCAGACCACACATGTTTAGATAGAATAGAACAGAACAGAACATGCATTACATGTACATTTGTCTAAAACTGAGGAAAAACTGTTGCAACATTAGCCGAATCAAAACTTTTTGTAGTCTACTAAGCCTCACTGTTAATGTTAATGAAATTACATAGAATACACTTGCCAAATGCGACACTGTAAACACCCATAGATGTACTGTATTCATGCAAATACCACTTTGGTAGCAATGTATACAGGGACTTTCACACATCTCGCATTTTGTGGCAATATTAGCCATCTAATTGTTCTCATAGCAAAGGAACCGTTAAGTTCATGCATAGAATACACTTGCCAAATGCGACACTGTAAACACCCATAGATGTACAGTATTCATGCAAATACCACTTTGGCATGTGTACACAGGATTGTATCTATTCTAAGAGCCATTTAGAAAAAACAGCATCAGTAGGAAAGTTGTTTTATGCAGCTTTTTCTAAACAGCAGTGCACGTTTATTGACATGTCTCTGCTTGCTTTTTTGGGGTCGTATTTACATCATAGAGCTGAGATACAATGGGCAATCACTGCTCAATCCAATATGCCTCAAGATTGACATCTGAAACAACCAAGACTTTATTGCTCCGTCTTGCACAGTGTGAAATGCAGAAAACTTGTAAGATCGCTGTTGTCCCACAGTGTATAGGGCCATAAGAGCTCACCTTTACAGCTACTGGAATTTATAGGATGTATCTCAAGTATTCGATCCCCCACACAGCACCACTGAGTCTTCGTGTTGTATTGGTCATATCCACAGCACTCGTGGTCACTGGAGTTCCTTGTCAGGATTTTCTTTTTCGGACCACAGCACAGCTGCTTCTCTTCATCAAATGCCTCTGTGGAAAAGATCAGGATGATTCTTTAAAGTTTTATCTCAGCCACAACTCAGCTGACAACCTACTGCATATCCTGCAGACCACACATGTTTAGATAGAATAGAACAGAACAGAACATGCATTACATGTACATTTGTCTAAAACTGAGGAAAAACTGTTGCAACATTAGCCGAATCAAAACTTTTTGTAGTCTACTAAGCCTCACTGTTAATGTTAATGAAATTACATAGAATACACTTGCCAAATGCGACACTGTAAACACCCATAGATGTACTGTATTCATGCAAATACCACTTTGGTAGCAATGTATACAGGGACTTTCACACATCTCGCATTTTTGTGGCAATATTAGCCATCTAATTGTTCTCATAGCAAAGGAACCGTTAAGTTCATGCATAGAATACACTTGCCAAATGCGACACTGTAAACACCCATAGATGTACAGTATTCATGCAAATACCACTTTGGCATGTGTACACAGGATTGTATCTATTCTAAGAGCCATTTAGAAAAAACAGCATCAGTAGGAAAGTTGTTTTATGCAGCTTTTTCTAAACAGCAGTGCACGTTTATTGACATGTCTCTGCTTGCTTTTTTGGGGTCGTATTTACATCATAGAGCTGAGATACAATGGGCAATCACTGCTCAATCCAATATGCCTCAAGATTGACATCTGAAACAACCAAGACTTTATTGCTCCGTCTTGCACAGTGTGAAATGCAGAAAACTTGTAAGATCGCTGTTGTCCCACAGTGTATAGGGCCATAAGAGCTCACCTTTACAGCTACTGGAATTTATAGGATGTATCTCAAGTATTCGATCCCCCACACAGCACCACTGAGTCTTCATGTTGTACTGGTCATATCCACAGCACTCGTGGTCACTGGAGTTCCTTGTCAGGATTGTCATGTTTGGACCACAGCACAGATGCTTCTCTTTATCAAAACCTCTGTGGAAAAGATCAGGATGATTCTTTAAAGTTTTATCTCAGCCACAACTCAGCTGACAACCTACTGCATATCCTGCAGACCACACATGTTTAGATAGAATAGAACAGAACAGAACATGCATTACATGTACATTTGTCTAAAACTGAGGAAAAACTGTTGCAACATTAGCCGAATCAAAACTTTTTGTAGTCTACTAAGCCTCACTGTTAATGTTAATGAAATTACATAGAATACACTTGCCAAATGCGACACTGTAAACACCCATAGATGTACTGTATTCATGCAAATACCACTTTGGTAGCAATGTATACAGGGACTTTCACACATCTCGCATTTTTGTGGCAATATTAGCCATCTAATTGTTCTCATAGCAAAGGAACCGTTAAGTTCATGCATAGAATACACTTGCCAAATGCGACACTGTAAACACCCATAGATGTACAGTATTCATGCAAATACCACTTTGGCATGTGTACACAGGATTGTATCTATTCTAAGAGCCATTTAGAAAAAACAGCATCAGTAGGAAAGTTGTTTTATGCAGCTTTTTCTAAACAGCAGTGCACGTTTATTGACATGTCTCTGCTTGCTTTTTTGGGGTCGTATTTACATCATAGAGCTGAGATACAATGGGCAATCACTGCTCAATCCAATATGCCTCAAGATTGACATCTGAAACAACCAAGACTTTATTGCTCCGTCTTGCACAGTGTGAAATGCAGAAAACTTGTAAGATCGCTGTTGTCCCACAGTGTATAGGGCCATAAGAGCTCACCTTTACAGCTACTGGAATTTATAGGATGTATCTCAAGTATTCGATCCCCCACACAGCACCACTGAGTCTTCGTGTTATTGGTCATATCCACAGCACTCGTGGTCACTGGAGTTCCTTGTCAGGATTTTCTTTTTCGGACCACAGCACAGCTGCTTCTCTTCATCAAATGCCTCTGTGGAAAAGATCAGGATGATTCTTTAAAGTTTTATCTCAGCCACAACTCAGCTGACAACCTACTGCATATCCTGCAGACCACACATGTTTAGATAGAATAGAACAGAACAGAACATGCATTACATGTACATTTGTCTAAAACTGAGGAAAAACTGTTGCAACATTAGCCGAATCAAAACTTTTTGTAGTCTACTAAGCCTCACTGTTAATGTTAATGAAATTACATAGAATACACTTGCCAAATGCGACACTGTAAACACCCATAGATGTACTGTATTCATGCAAATACCACTTTGGTAGCAATGTATACAGGGACTTTCACACATCTCGCATTTTTGTGGCAATATTAGCCATCTAATTGTTCTCATAGCAAAGGAACCGTTAAGTTCATGCATAGAATACACTTGCCAAATGCGACACTGTAAACACCCATAGATGTACAGTATTCATGCAAATACCACTTTGGCATGTGTACACAGGATTGTATCTATTCTAAGAGCCATTTAGAAAAAACAGCATCAGTAGGAAAGTTGTTTTATGCAGCTTTTTCTAAACAGCAGTGCACGTTTATTGACATGTCTCTGCTTGCTTTTTTGGGGTCGTATTTACATCATAGAGCTGAGATACAATGGGCAATCACTGCTCAATCCAATATGCCTCAAGATTGACATCTGAAACAACCAAGACTTTATTGCTCCGTCTTGCACAGTGTGAAATGCAGAAAACTTGTAAGATCGCTGTTGTCCCACAGTGTATAGGGCCATAAGAGCTCACCTTTACAGCTACTGGAATTTATAGGATGTATCTCAAGTATTCGATCCCCCACACAGCACCACTGAGTCTTCATGTTGTACTGGTCATATCCACAGCACTCGTGGTCACTGGAGTTCCTTGTCAGGATTGTCATGTTTGGACCACAGCACAGATGCTTCTCTTTATCAAAAACCTCTGTGGAAAAGATCAGGATGATTCTTTAAAGTTTTATCTCAGCCACAACTCAGCTGACAACCTACTGCATATCCTGCAGACCACACATGTTTAGATAGAATAGAACAGAACAGAACATGCATTACATGTACATTTGTCTAAAACTGAGGAAAAACTGTTGCAACATTAGCCGAATCAAAACTTTTTGTAGTCTACTAAGCCTCACTGTTAATGTTAATGAAATTACATAGAATACACTTGCCAAATGCGACACTGTAAACACCCATAGATGTACTGTATTCATGCAAATACCACTTTGGTAGCAATGTATACAGGGACTTTCACACATCTCGCATTTTTGTGGCAATATTAGCCATCTAATTGTTCTCATAGCAAAGGAACCGTTAAGTTCATGCATAGAATACACTTGCCAAATGCGACACTGTAAACACCCATAGATGTACAGTATTCATGCAAATACCACTTTGGCATGTGTACACAGGATTGTATCTATTCTAAGAGCCATTTAGAAAAAACAGCATCAGTAGGAAAGTTGTTTTATGCAGCTTTTTCTAAACAGCAGTGCACGTTTATTGACATGTCTCTGCTTGCTTTTTTGGGGTCGTATTTACATCATAGAGCTGAGATACAATGGGCAATCACTGCTCAATCCAATATGCCTCAAGATTGACATCTGAAACAACCAAGACTTTATTGCTCCGTCTTGCACAGTGTGAAATGCAGAAAACTTGTAAGATCGCTGTTGTCCCACAGTGTATAGGGCCATAAGAGCTCACCTTTACAGCTACTGGAATTTATAGGATGTATCTCAAGTATTCGATCCCCCACACAGCACCACTGAGTCTTCATGTTGTACTGGTCATATCCACAGCACTCGTGGTCACTGGAGTTCCTTGTCAGGATTGTCATGTTTGGACCACAGCACAGATGCTTCTCTTTATCAAAACCTCTGTGGAAAAGATCAGGATGATTCTTTAAAGTTTTATCTCAGCCACAACTCAGCTGACAACCTACTGCATATCCTGCAGACCACACATGTTTAGATAGAATAGAACAGAACAGAACATGCATTACATGTACATTTGTCTAAAACTGAGGAAAAACTGTTGCAACATTAGCCGAATCAAAACTTTTTGTAGTCTACTAAGCCTCACTGTTAATGTTAATGAAATTACATAGAATACACTTGCCAAATGCGACACTGTAAACACCCATAGATGTACTGTATTCATGCAAATACCACTTTGGTAGCAATGTATACAGGGACTTTCACACATCTCGCATTTTTGTGGCAATATTAGCCATCTAATTGTTCTCATAGCAAAGGAACCGTTAAGTTCATGCATAGAATACACTTGCCAAATGCGACACTGTAAACACCCATAGATGTACAGTATTCATGCAAATACCACTTTGGCATGTGTACACAGGATTGTATCTATTCTAAGAGCCATTTAGAAAAAACAACATCAGTAGGAAAGTTGTTTTATGCAGCTTTTTCTAAACAGCAGTGCACGTTTATTGACATGTCTCTGCTTGCTTTTTTGGGGTCGTATTTACATCATAGAGCTGAGATACAATGGGCAATCACTGCTCAATCCAATATGCCTCAAGATTGACATCTGAAACAACCAAGACTTTATTGCTCCGTCTTGCACAGTGTGAAATGCAGAAAACTTGTAAGATCGCTGTTGTCCCACAGTGTATAGGGCCATAAGAGCTCACCTTTACAGCTACTGGAATTTATAGGATGTATCTCAAGTATTCGATCCCCCACACAGCACCACTGAGTCTTCGTGTTGTATTGGTCATATCCACAGCACTCGTGGTCACTGGAGTTCCTTGTCAGGATTTTCTTTTTCGGACCACAGCACAGCTGCTTCTCTTCATCAAATGCCTCTGTGGAAAAGATCAGGATGATTCTTTAAAGTTTTATCTCAGCCACAACTCAGCTGACAACCTACTGCATATCCTGCAGACCACACATGTTTAGATAGAATAGAACAGAACAGAACATGCATTACATGTACATTTGTCTAAAACTGAGGAAAAACTGTTGCAACATTAGCCGAATCAAAACTTTTTGTAGTCTACTAAGCCTCACTGTTAATGTTAATGAAATTACATAGAATACACTTGCCAAATGCGACACTGTAAACACCCATAGATGTACTGTATTCATGCAAATACCACTTTGGTAGCAATGTATACAGGGACTTTCACACATCTCGCATTTTTGTGGCAATATTAGCCATCTAATTGTTCTCATAGCAAAGGAACCGTTAAGTTCATGCATAGAATACACTTGCCAAATGCGACACTGTAAACACCCATAGATGTACAGTATTCATGCAAATACCACTTTGGCATGTGTACACAGGATTGTATCTATTCTAAGAGCCATTTAGAAAAAACAGCATCAGTAGGAAAGTTGTTTTATGCAGCTTTTTCTAAACAGCAGTGCACGTTTATTGACATGTCTCTGCTTGCTTTTTTGGGGTCGTATTTACATCATAGAGCTGAGATACAATGGGCAATCACTGCTCAATCCAATATGCCTCAAGATTGACATCTGAAACAACCAAGACTTTATTGCTCCGTCTTGCACAGTGTGAAATGCAGAAAACTTGTAAGATCGCTGTTGTCCCACAGTGTATAGGGCCATAAGAGCTCACCTTTACAGCTACTGGAATTTATAGGATGTATCTCAAGTATTCGATCCCCCACACAGCACCACTGAGTCTTCGTGTTGTATTGGTCATATCCACAGCACTCGTGGTCACTGGAGTTCCTTGTCAGGATTTTCTTTTTCGGACCACAGCACAGCTGCTTCTCTTCATCAAATGCCTCTGTGGAAAAGATCAGGATGATTCTTTAAAGTTTTATCTCAGCCACAACTCAGCTGACAACCTACTGCATATCCTGCAGACCACACATGTTTAGATAGAATAGAACAGAACAGAACATGCATTACATGTACATTTGTCTAAAACTGAGGAAAAACAGTTGCAACATTAGCCGAATCAAAACTTTTTGTAGTCTACTAAGCCTCACTGTTACTGCCCAAACACCTCCGTCATAGGTGTCTGGTTA